GCTCAAGTTTTTAAGAGATTGCTTAGATCAGTTGGTTTTCTGTTTTCCAGTAAAAGGTTCAGTGGGGCACTTACTAAAACAAACAAAACCCCATTATTTTAGTAACATAAAAAACAATCATGTACATCCAACAAATAGATCAGAAGATGCTCTTTTATAGACAAAATTCCCATCCCAGAGATACAATGGTATGTACAATAACATCACACTTTGTCAAGAGATTCCAGTATAAAACACAGTAATTCAAAAGAAACAAAGTGTAAGTTTATTAGACACCAACATTTCTTAGTCAAGATCTAAGTAAAGAAAACACACAGTAGAAAAAGTTGTACAAAGCAGCAATGGATTTACATTACATTAAAGAAAAAGTTACCCTAAGCTATTAAGTCTCAGCCCTAAAAAAAGTAAAAACCCATCCTGGTGTACTGAACTGATATAGAATGACTATAAGGTATACAGGATTATAAAACCAGCTTCTTTTGTCTTACCTCTATAATCCTTTAAAATGACAAGTGATTTTGTGTTATCTAATTGGAAAATTCTATAGCAAATATATCGGATAATTTCAATTTCTAGAAACTGTAGGAAACTCTTCCCCTGTACCCACACACTAAAAGTGATCCCATTTTCCTGCTTTTTAAAAAGGGACACTGTCAAGAATAAGCCTTAAAATGTGTACTTCATATGTATTTTGCAGGTTACATTGCTAAAGATAGTTTGTTCTGGTTTTATGCACATAATTTAATTAAAGATGTTGCTGCAGTAGTGGGAAGCCTGTGTCTTTAAAAGGTAATGTGTATCGCTGACAAACAGGAAAAGGAAAAACGGATTGAGTTCTTTATTCTGGAATAGTGAGAGAAAAGGCAACATGAGAAATAAGCTCAACCCACAGAATTCGGATACATTTTTCAGACATCCTTGCAAAAACTGAGGATGCCCTTAATAGGCATTTTCATGCTCAAGCAGCTCAAGTGTTATGACTCAATTCATGTTTTTAATTCCTTTGATTTTATTAATATCAAGTATTCTTAATACAGGTAAGTACATTTATGGTATACAACCTTTCTCTTGATAGTGTCCCTTTATGTACAACAATTATAGTACAGTTTTTTCACAAGTCATTTTAAATAAACAACAATCAATGACATTAAAAATACTATCAGGTTGTGTTCAACAACAACAAAATAACATTTTAACACTGATTCATTAACAGCAACATAAAAAAAAACCCCAACAAAACGACAAAACCCTAAGCTTGCTTTGATTTTTATCTAAATCTTCTGGTAGGAAAATGTAAACAATTTTATTGAACAGTATAGGCACATGCCAGATTACAGGCTCATGCCAGATATTTGCACCCTCACTGCTAGTGCCAAGAGGTTAGGCAGTCTGTCCTCTTCCCATGTGAAGAAATTCTAGTTTTATCACTGGAAATCCTGGAACAAAAACTGAGTACATGTAGTTTCAGACCAAACCCGCATGTCCTACTTGGGGGAAAACAAACAAACAATATCAAACCAAAAAAAAAATCTACTGGATGTCACTAGAAGGCCTGCTTAAATAGGAGACGCAGGAATAAGCCTCTTAGAGCTATATTTTGGTTCACAGATAAGACTACATCTCCATTCTGACATACCCAAGACAAACTCTAGTGTCACTCCCTGCTTCAGCAGGTTTTCTGCTCAATTAACTGTCACAGGGTACTTCACTCTCCCTTAGCAAAAAAAAAAACAACACAAAAAACCCCCAAAAACCCAAAACAAAACCAAGCCCTAGAGATTGTATTATTACTGGTTCACATGCTTTGTTTTTGGAAAACCGCAGAACTATACCCTAGCTGTGTATGCAGTTTTTATGTAGAGGAAAATATATTTTAACTTTTGGTTCTAGGACTTTGGAACTAAATATCTGTATGTATTTCTCTGCCATTGCTCACTTTCAAGGTTGACTGTGGTCCCAATTTAGTGAGAAACTTAAGCACAGGTTTTAAAAACGTTAAGACTGATCTTAATGGAACCTAACCATAGGCTTAGACGCTTTGCCAACACAGTGCCTGAAACAAAAAAGAAGTCCCAAAACAAAATACACTTCATGGCTCAGTCCTGCTCCTCTTAAATGCAATAGAAGTTTCCACTGTACTTCCACTGAAGCAGGACAGTTCTCTGAGATTTATCTGACAGATTATAAAAATAGGAAGAAAGAATTAAAGATTCTAATATATATATTAAAACATCTGCACATTCCTGTCACAAATTTTAAGAAAAAAAGTAAACCGCTTTTTATATTTAACAAGACCTCTAACTTCGTTTCACTTTAGTACACAGCTACAAAATTAAACAAAATATGATGAAGACAGGCTTTTGTATCAATAATTTTGCCTTTTATTTTGGCTGTGGCTAAACTAGACACTCTTCAAAAGACCTTTATTTATAAAGAAGCAACTAACATTTTTTTCCATAATTTAACTTTTTAAACATATATTAAAGTTATATAAGTGGAAGCATATTTATTCTGTATCCTCCAAAATAAACACTTCTATCAAGGGCTTTTTAAGATACTGTATAAAAGCTAATAGAAAACCAGAACTGCTATATAAACATCTCATATTTAAACTTCAGAGATCCCGAACTCCTTTATTAAACAACTGGAACTGAATTAAAAAACAAAACAAAACAAAAAACCCCCACAGAACACGCTCAAAGTTGAAAACAAACAAACAGAAAACCTCAACAAACCAAAAGAACTAAAGAAAAACTTAGGAGGCTATTTAGACCAAAAATATCATATAATTTTTTTATAATACATAGTATACTAGGAAAAAGGTCAAGGCTTCTTCAGAGATGTTGCACAAGCTTTTGATTTAAGAAGTGCGGAATTCATCACTGTATCACGTAGCAGAATCCCAGCTGGAAGTTAGATGACTATGACATAACTGAAATAGTTGCTGCTTTCCTCTAGAAAACACACTGATTTTTAAAAGGCCATATATAAACTTTCAGACTGCTGTGCAGAGGAATCACTGGTGTAAACTTAGGAACCATTTTACCAAAACGTTCATAACTTATATGCACAGATTTCTTAAATACATTTAAAGGATATTTCGTGAAGCTTTACATTTTTCTGATTTTGCTAAACCAGGTTAATTACAATAACCATTTTATTTTGAATTTGCTTCTGGTAAGAAAACAATTCAGTCTGATCAGGTAGACTAAGAAGTCAATAACTAGAAATGCCACTATTAAACTAGTACCTTGTTTTAATTGCAATGTCACTGAAAGAAAGAGTTTAACTGATATTCTAACAAATGAATGTAATCATATTCAGCTACAATTTGCCTGAAAGAGGACAAAATAACATGTTACTATTAGAAGTGTTTAGTAACAAGTTTAGATTTTAATAAAAAACGAAACAGAAGAGGCAAATTTTTTGGTAGCTGAAAAAAAAAGTAATTTCTTTTAAACTTAATTTACAGGAAAAATAGTAAAAAACCCCAAATGTGTTGAGGAAAATATGGTGGCACACCTGGGCTTTCACTGAGAAAAATCTACTCCTGATCGTGCCTGACTAACCATCCTCAGATTCTTAGGAGTCACGCTTGTGCTTAGTTTTGCTAAATCTTAGTGTCACCTTGCAATTCTTATAACTTTTGAGATTTGGATGCTGAAAAAAGGAAATAAAGGATTAAAGCCTTCTTCCTGCTCTGCCTGAAACTGGTGACTGAACTCGGTTGCTTTCAGCGAACACAGCCTGAGCTTTGACGCCGTCACATGGAGCGAATGCAGTCCCCCTCTCCTGCCCTGCACCTGGTAGAGACGGTCAGGATCATAAATACCTTTTGTGTCACTTAGGTTTGCTTTAATCCTTTACCACCCCATTAAGTTTAAATTCCAGCAGAAGAATTTTTCGCTCTTTAGTTTACTACCTCCTTCTGGGCAAATATTTCTTTTACCAATATAGTAATTTTGGACCCTTCCTATAGCTTCTGGAAAGTATCTTGTGATCCTACTGGCACTAAATGTTCCAGTTGTGACTTGAGGTAAAATAATGGAACCACGCAGGGTATCTGCAGCCCACTATTACCACGATTTTCAACAAATTAGAAAATTGCAACACGGCATCACATACGATAGAGAGCGGCAGAAAGAAATATTCTATGCGCTGTATTCATAAAAATGCAGTGATTGTAGTGTGATTTTTTTTTTCCTCTGCTTTGAGCTGGATATGTATGCTTAATACAAATTTCAAATACATACTTCTTTATTTATACAGGTGTCTATATAAATATTTACATTTCTAGTTTTTGTTAAATCATCTTTGTACTCATGGCCAAGCTTATAACTGTGTGTAGGAACACAACTAATCTTCTGTCCCTTAATGAGCTCTCTTTTTTTGATTTAATAGTTATACATTCCTCTGTAGTTAGAATTACAAACAGTTGTACAAATAGTGGAAACAAAATGAGGAAACTCATCTGACATCCGTTCAGTCTTAGTTCATATTATAAACAGTACCATTTGCATTATGATGGCTGATAATAAAATGACTTTAGCTACCGAAGTATCTATAGTAAAGTAGTCTTTGGGACATTATATAAAGCAAAAGTACCCCCTCCCCCGATTTTCCTTAGAAACTTATAATTTAATGGCTGAAAGCAGGCTTGCTGCTACTTTTTATATAAAATCTTAGTAATAATATTGCTGACTTTAGATTCTATTTTAATTTGCACAAGTTCCATGTAACAACAAAACAATTCTATGTTCCCTTAAAATATCAAACATTCGTATCCAATAACATCAGGATTATTCAAACTTGAGGTTTATTTGTTATTGCTAAAGGTTTCTAAGACCAAGGTCAGTACAGCAAGACATTCCAACCACTTCCTCCCTAATTGCAAGTGCATGGCAACTATGTATATGGAGCTTGTGTGTTGGTTTATTTAAAAAAAATAAAATTAATGAAGTTGGTTACAGTATTTCACTACTATAAACTCACAGTTAGAATCCAAATTGTTGTTGCTTTTTCATTTAATATATAAATTTATATTTAATACACACGCACACACCAACATCACAGGATGAAGATCCATGCATACAATCCAGATGTGTTCGTATTTCAATGTTAAATGAAATAAAAATTATTCTGTTACCATTAGATCCCAGACCACAGTATTTTAAATTACTCTTGCTTTCTACCTACTAACCAAGTTAGTTTACCTTAATCTTCAAATCCAAGCAGCATGACAAATTCCATGATTTTTTCGTTGTTGTCGTCATCGTTTTGATCCTCTTAGGTTGCTAGTTTACATGGCATACATCTGAGATCCTGAACAGACCCTCCACCAAACCAGCTTTTTAAGGTATCTGGTAAAGCTAATTGTGAGTCTGTTCATGGCTCCAGAGACTAAAAGCTGTCTTGAAAGTCCTGTGACAGAGCTTACACATGTATTGTCTTTTGAATGTGATTGCTGAGAGGGGTGGAGCATGGTAGAAGAGCGTGTCCGACTCCTGTGGTACGAACAGCTTTTCAGTAGCAGTGGAGCTTTCGGACAAGCCCGTCGGACTATCGGGCTCCAAAGGCTGAATTTTGGGGAGGGGTGGGGGTGGAGGTAAGGGTGGTGGTGATGGGGAATTAGCTGGTGGACATATCTCAGGCTCCTTATTTGTGGACTCCTCTGCGGCCTGTGACATGTGAGACTGGAAGTGACTCCAGAGGCGGAAGTTGGTTCGGAAGGCCTTGTTACACACGTGGCAAATAAACGGCTTCACAGAGCACAGGAGCTCTTGGTGACGCTCCAGCTGTTTGCGTACGGTGAAAATCTTCCCACACTTTTCACAGGGCCACAAACCAGCATCTTTGTTGGAGACTACCTCCTTAGGTTCTCTGCTCGTTTCGGTGACCTCGTCCTCCATGTCATCCGCAGGCTCTTCTTTGATCTGGATTTTAAACTGCTTGGAAACACTTAAGTCTTCAGGTAGGCATGAGGAATCTTCAGAATCAAAATTTATTTGTTCTGACGAATCACTGAATACACCATCCTCCTTTGCAGCCACAAAATTGTTCATTTTGTTGGATTCCGACTGAGGAGGCAACCTTGACGAACTAGTTATTTCTCCGTTGTGATCCAGGATAGGTAAAGAAAAGTTCTCTGATGGAGCCATTGTGTTTTGATTGTGAACTTCAACTTGATGACGCCAAATACTAAAGGATGATTTAAAGCTACGCATACACTCCAGACAAGTAAGCTTCTTGTATTCACACTTGCTTTCATGCTCATGCGTCAGCTCTGGAGAAGAAAATCTAAGGCTGCAGTAAGGACAGACAGTAGCATTTCTACAGAGTCGCTCATGATTTCCCTGTTCAATAAGTGAGGAGAGCTTAGCATTGCAGAGACGGCAATGATAAACTTCTTTGCTTTCTACTGAACTTTCCATATGAATATGATCTTTCTGCTTAGGAGCCTTATTTCCTCCAATTGGTTTCTCCCCTGGGTGCATTTTTATGTGCTGTTTAAACTGCGAGAGGAAACGATAAGCTTTCCCACAGTAGGTACAAATATAGGCTCCTTTGGTTCTCGATCTCAAATTCCTTTTGATGACTTGTTGTGCTTGGGAAGCAGACTGTCCCTGAAAACCTTGCTTGCCACGCCTTAGTTTAACGATGAGAGCTTTTTTAATTTCTCTCTCTCTCACTATATCAATCAGTTTTCTTTGGAATTTTTCATCCAAAACAGCATGCGAACTTGAAGCTGGTGAGGGATTCTTCACAATTCCATGTTGTGTCTGGCAGTGCGTCCACACTTTGAAATTTGTATGAAATCTCTTGTGGCATATGTCACAAGCATAGGGCTTCTCTGGATTATGATACATGTTAACATGACGATGAAGACCTGCTGTTGATCGGAAAATTTTAAGGCAGTGCTTGCATTTAAATTTTTTATTTGGTCTTGCTTCTTCCATCTCGCTGTATTCATCTTTACTGACATCAGAATCAGGAAAATCAGCATCAAGGTGCGTAGGGCTTGAGCCTTCCTCAAAGTTATCTTCTGACCCAGGAGAACCCTGCTCATCCACCTGCTCATCCACCTTCAGTTTCTTAAACGGTAGTCTTCTATCAGCTTGAAATCTCCTTTTTGCTGGAAGTCTACTTGGTTCTTTATCATCATCCTCTGTTTTAAAATGGAAGTCTTTATTCATTGGCACCGGAGCTCCATCCACTGTAACTTTTTTTTCTGAAAGTGGACTGCTAGGTTCGGTTTTTATTCGCACCTCTGTGAGAGGGGAAGCGACCTCCCTATCTGTTGATTGAGAGGCACTGAAAGACCTAAGGCGATGTGGGTGTATTAACTGTGGTTTTTCATCTAAGACTAACTTCTCAGATGACTCTTTCAAGGATGACTTCTGAGATACAACATTAAATGTCTTCTGGGAATCATTAGTCCCTGGTGAGGAGGAGGATGATACCTGTGAAGGTTTCAAGTCGACAGAAGGTGAATAAATAGGGACTTGGCTATCCATGGACAGTGACCTTCGAAGGAGACTTTTTACGAGTGGCCCACTTCTGTCAATACTTTGGTTTTCTGGACCAGATCCACTCGATGGGATTACTAGCCCTAACTTTGAGTAGTATAGCAAATTCCTGTCTTCACCCTGACCGTTTCCTTTTCCTGCCTCCCGCAACACAAATGTAGATTCTGATGTGCCACGCAGAGACAAGACTGGTGGACGCGGTCTTTTTAATGACATCTCTGCAGCCTTTCCTCTTAAAAGCTGACCACTGCTTCCTGGTTCATCGCTTGCAATTTGTTTCTCTGCTAAAGGCATTTGAGGCAGCACTGTGTTCCTTTTCACTAAACCGCCTCTGCTCTGATCCTCCACAGCTCCAGAAGTTTCATGAACCTTGGCGTAGCTCACGGGGCTTTCTTTCAGCCATCTCCTTTCGGTCAGCGATAAGTTGTGAAGGGTTTCAGCTGGTTTTGTTACCTGTGGTCTACTGCTAGCTTTGACAGCAACAGAGGGTGAAGATTTAGAAGTATGGCTTAAATCATGTTGTGTTTGACTTACACTTTTCGCTTGTGCTTCAACTCTGTTTTGACAGACAATAACACTTCTCTTCTGAGAACTACTTTCATCTTCATCTTGATACAGTATTTTCTTAATAGGGCAAGCTGGAAAAGGAGCTTGAGGACTCTTAGAAACAATGTTTGTAAGAAAGGATATTCCAAGACTGTAGCCCAGTTCTTGCACAGCTGCAAGACTGCCTTTTTCGATGAACAAGGATGAAGAATAAATGTAGTTTAACACATTATCAAAAGCATCTGGCTCACAAAAGTCAAGTTGAAACACTGTCTGAGATTCATTCTCCTTATTTGTGAAGAGAGTCTGGAAGTATTCACTGCTGGCAGCCAGCACGTTTTTATGAGCTCGGAATTTCTGATCACCTACTATAAGAACAACATCACACAGCTGTCCCTTTAGACGCTCCTCATTCAGTGCGCTTAGAAGCGAAATGGCATGTGCTGGATTTATGTAATGCAAGAGCCCCTCCATGATTCCGATGTTTCTGAAAAAGAACAAACAACAGAAGAGAGTTGTAGGTTGCGTTGTGTGCACTGTTGTTAAAGTAAACTTCATAAACTGGTTAAACCACCATCAATGGTGCTGAAGAAAGCTTGTCTGGAGGCAAGGTATGGGAATTAAAACAACACTGTTAGCTCCAACAGATACACAGGCACAAGAAGAACCAGCTCATGTGCCCACTTTCAAATACACTGGTAATCACTGACCTTTTACCAAAAATTTTACACCTAACTAACTAATTGGGGGTAGAGGGGCTGTGTTCTCATTCTGCAATACACCTGCCTATGTGAAGGAACAGTTCAATCATTTCACTCTTCATCATCTTCTTCTTAGCTTTAGCCTTTTGAAGATCGATCTTGACAGCTGCATTGATAAACTCTTGAATCAGATATCTAAAGCTTAGTTAGGCCAAGTCACCTTTCTGAGCCTAAGCAACCCTGACAGGCTCCTGCTGACTAAACAAATTAATAAGGTTTTGTTGTCATTGTTAATAGGATGATAGAAAGGGAATTAATACTGAGAAGGGAGAAGGAAGCAGGACTATTGTCTGTAATCTAGATTAATTCACCATGCTTGTTTATGTTTAATAAGTGCTGTTTCACACTTACATATAGAAGTATATCAAAAAGTTGATATACTTCTAGTTATCAAACATGTGTCACTGATAACTGCACTGACAGGATCTTGGAATGTCACAATTACAACTGAAATATCCTTGCATTGCTTTTTTCCTAGCTTAAAAGCAATTAGAGAACCAAGCTTGCCATTTTATTCATTAGCGTAAGAGCACTTCATGTCCACAACCCATACTTTAAGAACGGTTACCCTTGGATGCATCCAAGGGTTCAATAAGCACAAATTAAACAGCAGTGCAGAAATCTCCATGCTCCATGTGCCTCAAAACACAGCCCACTCCGTATTACAGGATGTCAATAACCTAGTACACTGCTCCTAAATACATCCTAGTGAAAGAAGACAATCAGGTTCTAAGTTAGTTTAGACAAAGAACTTACGTGGCATGAATTGAAATTTAGGTATTTGTGCACATGCACTTGCAGAGAGAAATCACCAATATCAAATTTCCTTTTCTTTCATGGACACTCTTAAAATTTTGTTCACGTTAACCTGTAAGAATTTTACACTACCTTCCTCCATGGTGGTAATGAAACAAGTCGATGATGTGTCTGTTAAAGCAATTATCTTCTCCTTACAGCTGATCTGAGAAACTCCTCTTTAGTTTATGTTGTGGTTTAACGCCAGCTGGCAACTAAACAACACACAGCTACTCCTCCACCTCACACCCCCCCCCCCCCCCACGGAGGGTGGGTTTTTTGGATCAGAAGAAAAAGGTAAACTCTAATGGGCTAAGATAAGGACAGTTTAATAGGAAAACACAAGGAGAGAAGAAATAATAACAATACTACTAATGAAAGAATATTCAAAGCCTGTTTCTGAGCTGCAATCTGCCCTCCCAGTATATATACTGAGCATGACACTCTGGTATGGAGTATTCCCTTGGCTAGTTCAGGTCAGCTGTCCTGGACATGTTCTCTCCCTGCTGCTTGTGAAAATTAACTCTATGACAGCCTAACCCAGGATAGTATATAATCTATACATGATGTATGCTACTACATCAGAAAAGTTTCGCTATCCATCAGCTTACAAGCAAAACTGAAAAGTTTATCAGATTAAAAAACAATATGAAGAAGCCATAACTCCCTGATTAACATATGAGGGTGGTAAATCTTACAAATAATGGATATGAATAAGTGATCAAAGTCTACTTTGGTATTATTGAGAACGGAATTAAAGGGTTCTGCAAAGTGTCTCAGGGCATTGATCATATCATAGGACTGAACTACCACTTCTCCATCTGAAACTACTGAATGAGTTAATAGTGCCACGGCAATTGCAAAAGCAGAATTCTGTTTCCTCATCAAATCTCTTTAGCGAGCATTTCAGTGCCCCTTGCATTGCTGTTTCATAAACACTAATTTATCCTTAATTCACCTCAGATAGTTGTAATGCATAATCCCCCCACCCCCACCTAAAAAGAGCAGAGCAGTCAAGCTACTGTGAATATGAGAAAGCAATCTGTTTTGTTTTGCTTTCTATGGTTTCCTTTAAAGTACTGTGGAGGCAGGGGGTGCACTACCCCTCTCCTTTGCAGATGCCACTGCAATTTAAAGTCATGGGGTGTGACTGGGCCTAATCCAGTGTCATGGTCTGAGCACTCACAAACACCTGGAGCGTTATTATACCAGGTGCTCCAGGAATGCATCTTTTCCTTTCACTTCATCTGAAAGAAATGGAGTTTGCAAACTCAAGTGACTCATCTGGGATGCAAGTTGCAGCATGGTATATGGAGGCGACAGATCAACAGTGTGCTTATGAAGGAAACTTGAACTGAAGCAGTACTGTAGAGACAGCCAGGAGAAGCTGCTGCAGAACCCACACTTCAATGACACACTGGGAAAGAAGTATGTTAGTCAAGTGTTTTGAAATGTTTTCAAATATTTTATTTTAATCTGCTTTACCCAAGGCCTTGTGTTTTGTGTGAGACACTCGCAGAATAAACACCATGTAATTACTATGTGTTCCTTTGTCCATCGTAACCCAGTAACGCTATTAGTAGAGATGGGTGTAAAATCTACATGCCTAAAGCAGAACCCAGCAGTCGCCCACCTTTCTTTCAACATTCTCCTTTTTTTTTTTCATAGAACACCTTCAATTTATTACATTAAACAAGACAGAGATAAGCATCCTCCCTCTCAAAGCACAGTCTCCTCTGCGGAGGCAGTGGAGAAGGGAGAGCTCTTTGGTGCAATGTAACTGTCACTTTAACAGTAACCAAGGCTGCAACATACACAAATGGCAAGGGACCAAATTAATCCTGCAAAGGCAGCTTTAATCCTGGCGTTTCCTAATTCAAGTGCTTGACTTTCAGCCTAATAGCTTTTAAACACAACAGGCAGAAATAAAACAAGCTATGATACGTTAAGAAACAAATGCAGAACTGCTTTGCAGAACCATTTAAAGATATTTACACAGATTATCTGAAAGCCTGGAATACTTTGATGTAAAAAGCACCCAAATATTATCAGAGTAAATGTACCATGAATTAAAATTTCACTACATGAACGCTTTTCAGTAACAAAATTAATGTCCTGCTCTCTTTTTTCTTTCATCTTAGCTGCACACTGCAGTTCACACCTGCTTCAGCTGTGCCAGCACAAATTTTTGCAGGCTTGTATTACACAGCAGATGAGACAATAAACAAAAAAAAAAATAATGTTGCTCTTCAAATGCTGGTCAGTTTTTCACATTAAACCACAATCTCAGGAAAAATTACATTGGCATAACCAAAGAGGCAACAAACAGTGACAACAGAGCAGCTACAGGAAGACAAGAACTCCTTACTGCAGTTTTTTGTCAGCAAAGTAAGCACTGGGCTGACTGCCCTCAGCCCTGGCACAAAAGATGTGCCTCACTATTACACAGAGAGCAGAGCTATGTCACTCTTGTAATACTCAATTTGATCCCAGGTGTTTGAGGACTCACACTTTCTCAGCTGAAGCTTATTTCACCATTAACTACCTAAGCCCTTTCCTCCAGATAATCTGCTTCTATTCTCTCCAACTATCTTTTTCCAGCCATCTTCACTGCTCACTGGAAAGAAGGCTTTCTTGCGTGCTTCCATGATGTTCAGGTGACATTAAGGAAACCATAGGAGAGTATCAGAAAATCTCCCGTTGTTCAGGTGCCACGTGCTAGAGGAGCTGCTGGTCCTCAGGAGGAACAGAAGCAGCAAGACTCCAGACCCAGGAAGGACAAGTGCAGTTGGAGCCCCTGCAGCCTTCCTTCAGGAGGCCAAGGAGAGGTTTTAGTGTGAACCTTCAACAGCCCTCCACTGATCTCAGCAAACTAGATTTCAGAAACCTAAGCACCATACTTGGTACAAGATTTATTTTATCTTACTTTTTGAGCAAGGATAGTAAAAGACACCTAGTGTTTCAAAATTACTTTCTGCAAAAAGGAAATAGCTACTCAGGAAAGCTCTTCACAGGAAAAAGGTGAAAAAGCTTAGTCTTTGGCCCAGCAGCTTATTGATCTTCAACAGCTACCTGCCTTTGAAGTGGTAGCCCTCCTTCCTTTCCTCTGTCCCTTACTCTCACATCTCCTCCTCCCAAGTCCTGGGGTACCCTCCTCTTCCTTTCATCAGCTCTGCTGCCCATTTCACCTCTAAGTCAATTCAGCTCCCTAAAATGAAGTAGGAAACAAACAAACAAAATCGATCCAGCCTTTTATACCTCTTTGCTATTTTACAGGTTAGAAGCTTAATCAGCTCACTGAGTCATCAGATGAGCATCAAAGTTGCAGCAACAGAAGCCATGAAACTAGCCATTTTTTGTCAGCATGTTGTTCAATCAGCTTTGCCCATCCAAAACCTCACCCTCAAGAACAACAAAGTTACCGATGCAGAGACTTTACATCAGGCAGATATTTGTGCGAACAATTTCAGCCTAATAGCTTACACTTGAAAACACACCAGCAATTGAAATGAAATGTTGATGTTGCCTGTTGACTTACATCATAACGACACGGCTGTCAGCTAAAGCTATGTTAATGGCATGTTGGGGGTGGCAGTGGGAAACATGATGTTCCACAACACTTAATGAGATGCAGCGTTGCAGCAAGGAGGCGCCAGGGCTGTGAGAAACTGCAGCGAGAAGCAGAGAACACAAGGAAGGAGGAGGAAACGAACAGAGGAGACAGACGTCAAGAGAGACCGAACAGGGCTTTCAACAGGGAAAACATACATAAGAAGTGGGGTAGGGGCAAACCCACTAAAAAAACCACTCAAAACATGGATTATAAAACTCAGCCAAGAAATACAAGTGACTTCCTGAGCTTTCCCCAGACAAATGCAGGAATGTTGCACTCAGCTGTGAGTGCTTTGCACAGGATTT